TTCATTTTGATTGCTGATGTTCTGATCTGATTCTTCAATTTGAAATGCTCCATTGCTTCTGGCATGAACTTGATTTCCCTTTGTGAATTCAAAGTCTTCTGGGAAACCTATAATTCTGTAGCAATCATTGACAATATGACCTATTTTCTTGCGATGACTGCATGTTACATTAGGGTTAAACTTAGTTTTCTTTCCCTTGAAAGTTGTGTTCCTTTGAGTAGAGTTAGTCACTTTTTGGATGTTGTTCCCAAACTTTTGATGTTGTATTTGGTTTCTTTGCATCTGCCTTGCACTCCTTTGTGCAAAGTCATTTTGATTTGTTGCCATGAAAGATANCTTTGAGTAGAGTTAGTCACTTTTTGGATGTTGTTCCCAAACTTTTGATGTTGCATTTGGTTCCTTTGCATCTGCCTTGCACTCCTTTGTGCAAAGTCGTTTTGATTTGTTGCCATGAAAGATGAAGAATCTGGAGAAATGAGTGGGTTAGAAAAAACTTCTTTCTGGCTTTCATCTTGCAATACTAGGGAATATGCATGGTTTATGCTTGGTAGGGGGTTCATCATTAGGATGGTTCCCCTTGCTTGGCCATAACTATCATTTAAACCCATAAGAAACTGAATAAGCCTTTCATCATCTAGTGACTTTTCCAATTTTTGCTTCCCTTCACAGACACACAAACAACTGCACTTCACATCACAATTAAGTGAATCCAATTCATCCCATAAACGTTTGAGTTTTGTAAAATAGCTTGCTATGTCACTAGTTTCCTATACTAACCTTGATAATTCCTTCCTCAGGTGATAGAGCTTAGCTCCATTTGACTGACCAAACCTATGTTCAAGGCTGGTCCAGAGATCTTTAGCAGATTTAGAGTAAATGACATTGTCTCCTATGTCTTTGGATAATGAGTTGAGCAACCAGGATGTTACCATGTCATTACACCTGCTCCAAGGCTGATAGTCTCTGGAAGTGAGAGTTGGAGCAGGGCAAGCACCATTGATGAATCCTATTTTATTTTTAGCAGATAGTGCTATAAGCACAGACCTTCTCCATCCTTGGAATCCTTTTCCATCAAAAGTTGTGTTGACAAGAGACATTCCCGGTGCATCAGAAGAATGAAGAAAGTATGCATGGTTTGAGTCGATGGTGGGGATTCCTCCAGTGGTGTTCAAAGCCACTGTGTTTGCAGTGTTATCCGACATTGTTTACAATTGATATGAAGATGAGGAAGACGACTGATGGATCGAGCTTTCACTGCTTTGATACCATGTAAGAATATTGAAAAGGAAAGATAATGATGGAAAGAAGTTTTCTGCTTTTCCCCCTGCCTTTACATTGTTATTTACATAGTATATAAAAGAATATAAAAATAGCTACTTTATTCAATAAATGTACTATTCTTATTTGTGGGTCACGTGCTCACATGCACTAAAGTGAAAAATGGACAATGGACAACTGCTTTATATCAAAATGAGATAAAGAGTTTTGGTCAATGTGACCAAGCTTTTGTGCAGACCAAAGCTCCAATTTCTCTTTCCTTGTCTCTTCTTCTTCATCTTCAACTTTTTCGGTCATGGAGTCTGGTTTCAAACAATCAGCTCCAACAGAACGAGACTCCTTAAAGGAATTATATATGAATTATAAGAAAACCATGATTATAGTGGGTAAATTACAAATATAAGATAATTTTAGTAAATAAATTTAAAATATTGTATAGAAACGAAAAAATACCATTAAAAATTTCCAGGGCCGGAAAATCCACATTGGCGCCAACTTTATAACTCTAAACCACGTAGGAGACGGTTAAGATTTTCACATAAATAAGGAAAACTGTAGCACAAACCTCGCCCTTTCAAACTCTTATTCCAACTTCTCAAACTACACATCCCTCAATATCAACATCCAAATACCCTAGTTCTTGATTCTTAATTTTTTTTTTAACAACATGAGTACTCTCCCTATCAAGGAAGAAATCGTCGACCCAACAGACAACTTAGATATTCCAACAAACAGTACTACTGCTATGATGATTCCTGTAAGCAGTGAAACCAACGGCTTTTTTGGTTCTTGTTTTGATGATAATAGTGATGATGATATGGAAGGAATTAGTCCATTGAAAAAGATGAGAGCCGAAGCTGCTTTGCCAGTAGGGTTTCTTGATCCTCTTCCCCCCGAAGAGCGTGCGGCATGGCAACAGTCTCGTATTAATGCTGGCAAGGCTAGTAGTATTGGTTTTATTGCTCCTTTGCGGTCGGTTCGTCCAAAAGCTGAGTATCGTGACGTGCCTTTTTCGCGCAATGATCAATTGGTAGTAGTGGCTGGAGAAAAACAGGTAGTTTCTCCTGCTAATATTACAAGTTGCAAGCAGTTCTGGAAAGCTGGAGATTATGAAGGCATTGATGGTGGCTTTTCTGCTGCTCATTCAGGTAATGTTTGACAAGTTCTTAGACCGATTGATTACTTTACTAAGTATTCCGTTCCTGTAGAAAAGAATGACGGGGTTTAAAAAATTCATGGTATATATGGAGCGCTTCACCCTTTAATGGGCCAACGTGAATTCCGGATTAGTCGGGCACTAAAGCATGAACTAAAAAAAAAAAAAGAATGATAGGGTTGGAGGAAGAATGCATCAAAACATTTCTCTTGAATTGTGAAATTAACGTCTTATAAAAAGTAACTAGAAATCACAAATTTTTATAGTACGTATTATAAAAGTACTACTACAAAACACAATATAGGTTTATGGTAAAAAAAATATTTCAAGAAAGGTCTATTCCTTTTTGTACAGAGGCAGTATTTGGTATACGGATATTTTACTATTGAACCAACTTGTCGAACCATGTTAGAATATAAAGGATGAAAAAAGTAGCAGTGTGGTGGCTAAAAGCAGCGGCTTTGACAGAACTTAAGCATTATTTATTGAGATTTAATTACAATTCAGAGCTTTCAGACTGTTACTCTTGTTTCTCAGCTTACATGTTCATCAAATTGAAAACTGATAGATGATAAATAAAGACGTTATATTTGTAAAGTTTGGAACTTTTCATTGAAAAGAAACTCATGCAAGAACCAGGTACAAGATATCATAATTAGCTTTTCACAGTTTTCTTCTACCTATGTGGCAGGTTTAATTTGCAGTAAAGGAAAGAGTTTTTGGACATCACCACATAATTTAATCTAACTGATGTCCTGGTTGATTAGTTTTGAAGTCATTGTGCAATGTAGGTATATACGTAGCGACATGAATGACTTGAATTTGGGATGGAATGCAGAGTTTGGTAGATGTGTTCGCCAATTATTGGCATTTGTAGTCTTGCTTCCTGATGCTACTTGTTGTTTTAAAAAGCAAATTAATGGAGATAATATCCCAATAGTTTTTTTAGGAGCGTTGCACGTTTAACAAAGTTTCTTTTTTCATTAAGGCATCGTAACTTACTCTCGAAATCAAAACAAAAACTTCTGAGCATCTAATTTGTACCTTAAGCAATGAGTGGGGTAGTATAAGCTTATTATATGCTCCTCTAAAAACCTTTACAATACCAATCTGAAAAAATATCGTGGCTCAACGAGTTTATTTGGCGAGGTAGAGAAAGTAGCTTTGAATGGCTACAAGGTCCAAATCATACCTAGCTAGAAGGTAGCCTGAAGTAGAGAGATAAGCCTCGACTAGCTAAAAATGTGCTTGAAACGAAGTTGAAGGCTCGAAGGATTAAATTGAGAGAAAGAGATCCTAGAGGGCCTGATGATCAGTTGAGGGAGGGAAACCTAGAGCGACAGAACATGTCGTGAGAAAACTTTTAAAGCTGGACTTACTGAGCTGTCTCTATTTCCATGTGAAAGAATTTTAGCATCGAACTCAAAACGTTAAGACAATATATAGGCGAAGTAACACATGACGTTTAAGTTCCTTAGTATGTCCGAATTTAGGATAAGTTATTCCACACTCTCTAACGACAGATTTAGGTTCAAACTTTGTCATTAATGCAGACTTGTGAGTGTGAGAATGGGTTTGCCAAAGGCTAACTCTGATATCACATGAAAGAATATGAACTTGGAACTAAATCCTTAATGCAATAAACAAAGTAATCTAGGACACTAGAAACCCCTTTGGAAATCTTTACACAAACCAAAATGCGCGCATATATACTCTCTAACAATTGATATGGTTGACTACTTGGTTATATAATTAATTTCCTAGTGTGTATCGCCAAAAAATAACTAGCAGCTTCATTTATATGATTTCATACGTGCAGTTGGCATGGATCATGTGAGGGTTCACCCAAAATTCTTGCATTCAAATGCCACCAGTCATAAATGGGCTTTGGGAGGTAATGTCTGTCGCAAATTAAAGCTTGATCTTTGATTTAGTTTCATATTCCTCAACTCAATTTCTCCCCATATATTAGTGGGAGATTTCTCTTTGTTGATGTTTACATGATCTTGTTCTCTGCACCAGCTTTTGCTGAGCTTCTAGACAATGCTATGGACGAGGTACACATGCTATAGTTTCCTGTTCCTTTTGTTGCCTTCTCTGTTCCACTTCCTTAAAATATTTTTCTCAGGTTTGCAATGGAGCTACCTATGTCAGCGTAGATGTGCTTGACAACAAGAAAGAGAAGGGCAAAATGTTATTGGTTGAAGGTATATTCATTCACTTTCCTTGTATATTCTTGTCATGTTTTTTCTTTTTTTGAGTAGTTGGTTCTCTGGAGAGATTCCGCTTTCTTGTTCTAGAGACCATAGTAGTGGATCCAATATTTGATCGATATGACATGAAATCTCTTGCTCTAAATTTGGTAGGCAGCTCTTTCTTGTTCGAATCTTGAGCTTATTCTTTTGACAAATGAAACTGCAGATAACGGTGGTGGAATGACTCCTGATAAAATGCGTCAGTGCATGTCTCTTGGATATTCTGCAAAAAGCAAATTAGCAAATACCATTGGCCAATGTGAGTTTATATATTTATTGCAATACCTAAACCATATTTGTTATATCACTAAAATTTGTTCTTGGAAACTGTTTTAAGTATGCAACAATTGCCTTATTATTTTGTAATGTTTTGCAAGATGGAAATGGTTTCAAAACCAGTAGTATGAGACTAGGGGCAGATGTGATTGTGTTCTCGCGTTGTCAGGGAAGGGACGGAACAAGGTATTTTATGGTGCTAGTAACTGTTGCTTGCTAGTTTCTCATACAGTCGTCTTCCTAGAGATTATGATTGCAATTTCTTTAAGTAATATGTTCTTTTTGTTTTCTGTAGCACAACACAAAGTGTTGGAATGTTGTCATATACATTTTTAAGGAGCACAGGAAAAGAAGATATTGTTGTTCCAATGGTATGACTTCCTGGATACAGCAATTACCATATTCTTGTTGTTTTGTTGGATAACTAGAACATATTAGCGCTATATTTGCTTGATACTTCAAATTTTCTTACTAACTTTTTGTTTGAAAATTAGAGTTTCAACAAAGATAGTTATCATAGCTGGTTTTGTATTTTGTAAACAACCATTTAGTTGTAGGAACAAAAAATATTGAAAATTGGTTTTTGCACTTTGCAATGTGAAGATTGATTTTGTGAAGAGAGCAGAAACCTGGGAAATGCTGACTCGATCTTCAGTTGATGACTGGAAAAGAAATTCTGAAACGATAGTACAATGGTCTCCTTATGAAAGTGAAGAGGATCTCTTCCAGCAGGTATTTCCTATTCGCTCTTTATGTAGTTTTAAAGGATGAAAATATTTTTTGTTAACTGTGAACTATCTTTTCTTCTGATGCATGTTTCCCCATTTAAGGTTGCTACTATTGTTTCTGCTCATTAGTTTTGCTCCTAATGTTATTGTTCTTGTTTGTTCTAGTTTGAATTACTGAACGATCAAGGCACGCGAATTATCATATACAATCTTTGGGAGGATGAAGAAGGATCCACAGAACTTGACTTTGACACCGATCCACAAGTATTCTGCTTCTCTTGTATTGCATATCCCAAACCCCTATCTTTGGTTTCTTAGCTGGATTATGCTTTTATCTTTTACAGGACATTCAAATCAAGGGTGTTAGTCGAGATGAAAAGAAGATCGAGATGGCAAAACAATATCCTAACTCCAGGCATTTTCTAACTTATCAGCATTCTTTGAGGGTAAATATTCTAGTTATGGATTCCATTCTATTAAAGTTTTTACTTGAAGATCTACTCCACGGA